GACCGATTCTGGCAATTTTCAGCAATAAACAAGATCATGTGTAGAAACGAATGTATGATGACTTTCATGAAATTATCTTGCATAGTTTTCGAGAAAATTACATCAGAATGTGTAAAAAATGCTTATTTTTTCGGAGTTGTTTTAAATTTTGATTCATAACTTTTCCCGATGTGAACCGATTTTGCTCATTTTTAATACCAAACTGTACCGGATAATATTGAATATTTTGGGTGAATTTGGTTAAATTATATTGCTTCGTTTTAACGTGAGCGTGTTTTACACAGACAGACAGACGGACGGACGGACATAGCTAAATCGACTCAGAATTTCATAAGCACTCAGAATATATATACTTTGTTGGGTCTCAGATGAATATTTCTTGGTGTTACACACGGAATGACAAACTTATATATACCCTCTATCACCACTGATGGTGGTGGAGGGTATAAAAAAATTTCGAATAGTAAAAAAGATTCCCCATATTACCAAAATTCAAAACAGGAACGATATGTATATTTACATAGTTGATTTAAAACTAGAGATAAAAGAAGTTTTTTTAATTTTATTTTTAGAATAAAAGCAAACAGCATTTAGTTTATTTGTTTGCAATAAATAACCAAAACGAAAAATAATTCACATGTACACATGCAAAATAAAAATAACGAATTTTGTTTAATAATAACCAAAGTGGCAACACTGTATCTGAGAAACTATTAGAGCCAGAATCTTCAAATTTTAATTGAAGAACTCATGTGAACATTCAGAGAATAACGGGCGGACTTTCAATGGGGGGCTTGGCACCAATTTTCAGCAATAAACAAGATCTTGTGTAGAAACGAATGTATGATGACTTTCATGAAATTATCTTGCATAGTTTTCGAGGAAATTACATCAGAATGTGTAAAAAATGCTTATTTTTTTCGGAGTTGTTTTAAATTTTGATTCATAACTTTTCCCGACGTGAAACGATTTTGCTCATTTTTAATACCAAACTGTACCGGATAATATTGAATATTTTGGGTGAATTTGGTTAAATTATATTGCTTCGTTTTAACGTGAGCGTGTTTTACACAGACAGACAGACGGACGGACGGACAGACGGACATAGCTAAATCGACTCAGAATTTCATAAGCACATGGTGGAGGGTATAAAAAAATTTCGAATAGTAAAAAAGATTCCACATATTACCAAAATTCAAAACAAGAACGATATGTATATTTACATAGTTGATTTAAAACTAGAGATAAAAGAAGTTTTTTTTTTTAATTTTATTTTTAGAATAAAAACAAACAGCATTTAGTTTATTTGTTTACAATAAATAACCAAAACGAAAAAATAATTCACATGTACACATGCAAAATAAAAATAACCAATTTTGGTTAATAATAACCAAAGTGGCAACACTGTATCTGAGAAACTATTAGAGTCAGAATCTTCAAATTTTAATTGAAGAACTTTGACATTCATGTGAACATTCAGAGAATAACGGGCGGACTTTCAATGGGGTCTTGGCCTATATGAATTAAATACAAAATTTCGTATATCCGGAAAAATATTAGATTTTTTTTTTTTTAATTTGTCATCGATTACATTAAAATCTTAATTAACGTTCGGAAAAAATATATCTCTGGAAAACATTACAGTTAGAATCTTCAAAATTATTAAGAAGATTTTTTATTTATATTGCTTTTAGGGTAGCAAAGCACACTGGGTATAGCTAGTGTTTATATAAAAGTCATTTGTACCGAATTTCATTGTGATACTGATAGTGAACATTGCAGTCATTTTCTGAAGAAGACTTTGTATGGAGGATAGGGTCAAATGAGGCCGATCGTTACGAAAATCTGCAATATCATTTAGACATATGTTAAACTAAGTTTTGTAAATTTCTGTTGAAATACTAGAACATTTAATAGAATTATGAGCTCAAGGTTTACATGGACACACATACAGACAGACGGACGGACATAGCTTAATTGACTCAGGAAGTTATTCTGAGCATTTATTAATTTAATGCATTAAATGTAACCATGTTAATGCAATAAACTTTCATTAACATTAATTTTTTTTAATGTTGAAAAAATTGTTAATGCATTAACATATTTAATGCACTTATCCCAGGTCTGTCTAATAGTTTGTATTGCTAGTCCGCCAATTTATTATCCAAATATTCACATTTATGCCAAAGTTATTCGTGCAAAATTTGAGTATTTCAGCTCTAATTGTTTCTGAGATATACAAATTTTTGCATTTAATTCATATGGAAGGTACCAAGCCCCCCTAAAGAATGTCCGCCCGTTTTTCCCCCACATGTTCACATGGATTTTAAAGTTCTTCCTGCAAAATTTTAAAATTCTAGCTCTAATTGTTTCTCAGATAAACTAATTTTTTTATTTAATTCATATGGGAGGTGCCTCGCCCCCTATTGCTAGTCCGCTTATTTTGTGTCCTAAATATTCATGTTGTTAATAAAGTAGTTGAGAACTCTAACTGTTATATTTTCTCAGATATGCTAATTTAAGATTTTATTATATGAGAGGTGTCACGCCCACTATAGATAGGCCGCCCATTTTTGTCCACATATGTTCATATGGATGTCAAAGTTGTCCATACAAAATCTGACTCTAGCTGTTGCAGTTTCTGAGATATGAGATATAATTATTATTTTGGATGAAGGCGTGACACCTCGCCTACTTAAAATTTCTAAATAAAAAGTAGCCTATAGTTCCTTCCAGACATACAGGAAGGCACTGTGAAAATTTCAAGAAAATCGGTCCAGCAGTTTAGCCGTCTATAGACTTCAAACAAACACACAAACAAATAAACACACATTCATTTTTATATATATAGATATACACATGTTTAACTTTCCCAACTTTTGATTAACAATCTTAGGTCTGTTTTCATATACACAAACGGAAAAGAATTTTTAGAATTACAGTGAACTCTCGATAATGTGAACTAATTAATGTCGGGATAGTTCATATTTTCGAATTTGTTCACATTTTCGATTGTGATTTTTTTTTATATATATTACTAAGTTATTCTTTCTAAAAATCATTTCTGCAAGGAATGAAAATGCAAAGATTACTAAAAAACTTTTTGTAATTTATTTGGAACATAAGTTTTAAAAAATCCATTTTATAAAGAGTACATACGTAGTATGTACTTAAAATACAAACAAAATATTACGATAAAAAATAAATAAAATTTACAATGAAACAAGTAATAGTTCTATATTCGGCTGTGCCGAATCTTATATACCCTTCACCATAGTGTATTTAAAAATTCATTTTCCCGACTATATCATTATTATAGCAATAGCAAAACATAATGAACAACAATAACGCTAAATGAAATAAACACACAAAAAACAAAATACACAAGGCAGCAAAACCAACAGACATCCAAACATACGAAACGAAATACAGAAAAAAAAACAAAAACAAAATACACAACGCAATGAAACCAACAGACATCCAAACATACGAAATTCAATACACCAAGAAAACGTAAACAATATACACAAGGCAATGAAACACACAGCCATCCAAACATACGAAACGAAATACTCAAAAAAACAAAAACGTTTCCTATTCCTTTCATTTGTTTAGTTAAATAAGTTCAAACATGTATTGCTTACTGTTTTTATGTATTTTCAATATTAAACTTTCAATATACGAATCATTTAATTTTTGAAGGTACAACATCATTGTTGAATATGCAATTTTTCTCTCTAAAACGCCACAGAGCGTCATTTGATAATAAGAACTTGAAGATTAAAGAAGTGTAAGAAACAAGTAATTGAAATTAAAATAAAAAACTAATTGAATTAAAAAAAATACATTTTCTTATAAAACTACGTGAGTTTAAAATATAAAAAGTGATTATTTAATTCATAAAGTTTAAGAAATTTTCTATTTTTACATATTTTATAATTTTTCTTTTTAATTGTTGTAAACATATCTTTTTTGTGAAATGTCACAAACATTTTTTTTAATATCCATAGTCAACGAGTAATTCTAATTTGGATGTATTTTTCGTGTCCGCAGATCAAAAGAATCGTATACCAGACTCTACACCGTTTTAAACATACGAAACGAAATACTCAAAAAAACAAAAACAAAATACAAAGGCAATGAATAAGCAGTGTTGTTGTTGTTTATTTTTAATGAAATTTTCAGAGGTTGTCTCGGATTTTTGCTTATATCTCCGTTGTTTATGAACGGATTTTGCTGATTTTAAATAGGAAACTTCTCGAAAGCATGCCTGCTAGAATTATTGAAGATTTGGATCCCTAAGATATCTGGAGTCTTCAGAAAACTGATTTCAACAGACAGACAGGCGGACGGACAGACAGACAGACGAACATGGCTTAATCGACTCCGCTATCTATAAGGATTCAGAATATATATACTTTATGGGGTCGAAAAATTATATTTTGGAAATTACAAACGGAATGACAAACTTATATATACCCTTTTCACGAGGGTGAAGGGTATAAAAAGATAAATTCATACATATAAATTTAAACCAGCTTATTTACTGTCAATTCCCTGACTTTTTTTTTTTCAATACTTTAATGTTTGATCGACCATTTGAAATTCAGCCCATTGGACAGCTTTGTTAAAAATTTCGATAGCTTCTTTGGCTTTAATGTTGTTTTCAGGCGCTTCAATAAAACAGTCGTCATCATCGTAGGACTCTTCAAATAAATCATTTTCATCAAATTTTGATCCAATCTCTAATGTTTACAGCAGTAAATACTTCCTGAGGGCACAATGTCTGTAGAAGATTTGCAGCAGTATTTTTTAAAGATCTAACCTCTGATTGCCACTTTTCTTTTAAAACGCTCAAAGGAACATTAAATTCAGGATCGTCTTCATCATTTACCACATTCAAAATATTTTTCCAACAGTTAGATAAAGTTTCTTTACCAACTCGGTTCCAGGATGCCTCTAGAATAGAAACTCCTTTAAGTGTGATTTTTTTCATCGATTCAATCAAATCCCCCTCTTTTGCAATAATTGTTGCCAGAAGTTTGGTGATGAAGTTTGGTGATTCTCATTGCATTTTGATCCATTGGCTGGATCAGAGCCGTTACATTTGGAGGCATGAACATAGCTTCTATGGAACCATCCTCGGATTATCTATTAGGAGTAAAGCTTTTACTGGTAATCCTTTCTTCGTTAAAAAATCTGTCACCTTAATGAAAAATAAAACAATAAGAATCCCAATTGAACTTACCTCTGGCACAAAACAGTTGTGAAACCATTCTTTAAAAATGGAAGAAGTCATCCAAGCAGACTTTGAATTTCTGTAGTTTACGGGACAGATAAAATTTTTAAAACTGCGAGGATTTTTCGATTTTCCTATTACTAAACGTTTTATTTTATGAGATCCTGACGCATTTGCGCAGCATAAAAATGTTATCCTTTGCTTTTCCATTTTTGCACCTGGAGCGCTTTTCTCCAATGACGTTACATATGCCTTTTGTGGGAGAAGTTTCCAATATAGACCAGACTCATCGGCATTATACAACTGATCATTGGATAAACCCAAATCTTCTATCTTTGCTTTCAATTTTAAAAGGATTTACGAACTGAGATTGTGCAGAAAGTTTTTCACCGCTTATCTGAAGGAGCCGAATTCCGTATATTTTTTTAAATTTTTGTAGCCACCCATTGCCAGCATTGAAGTCATTTCCATTTTCACTTATGTTTTTGTGAATTTGTTTGGCTTTCTCTTTCAACATCAACCCACTTAGAGGGAGGTTTTTATTCCACATGCAAATAAACCACTTATAGAGCGATTTTTCCATTTTTGGAAGCTCTGAAGATCGTAATGTTTTGCGTTTTCCGGGTCCATAAAACGTATTGTTCACGCATTTTAAAATATTGTCTTTTTATTGAATATATCGTTGATTTTGCAACTTTTTACTTAACACTGTAACAGTCGATCCTTTTTTTAAATATTCCAAAACTTCGCATTTCTCATTTAAGGATTAAAACTTTCGACTGTTTTTAGACATTACTAATTTTAGAAGTAAATTCACGAACCTACCGCAACAAGTTACATAAAGCGACTACCATTAAATACCTTTAAAATAATGGCATACTATGGTATTTATTAATTCAGGGATTCCCAACATTAAAAATAAATGCTTCTACAAATTAAAAAATCTCCAAAAATTAAAAAAAAAAATTGTTCACTATTTAGAGCCATTAAACTCACTATTTAGAGCCATTATTTAGAGCCATTAAAGACCTAAAAACCGGATAACCCGGTTAACCGAAAACCAGTGTTTTAAAAAAACCGGTTTGCGAAAAACCGAAATATGCAATAAAAACCGGTTTATAAACACTATTCAAAACATACCAAACAATATACACAAAAAAACAAAATACACCACGCCATGAAACCAACATACATCCAAACATAAATAATTTTCCAATAAGCATTGTTGTTGTTGCTCATTTATCAAAGCATACAAACCACCACCATCAGTGGTGATAGAGGGTATATATAAGTTTGTCATTTCATGCGTAACACCAAGAAATATTCATCTGAGACCCAACAAAGTATACATATATATTCCCGGTCCTTATCAAATTCGGAGTCGATTTAGCTATGTCTGTCCGTCTATCTTTCTGCGTAACACACGCTCACGATGCTAAATAAATAAATGAAATTCGGCCAAAAAGATTCACTATTGTCCTAGGCAGTTTGGTATTGAAAATAAGCAAAACTGGTTTACATCGAAAAAAGTTATGAATACAAATTTAAAAAAACACCGAAAAAATTAAACTTTTTTTAACACATTCTAATACAATTTTCATAAAAACTATGCGCTATAATTGCAAAAAAATCAGCACACAATTGTTTTCATATGAAAGCTTAATTCCTGTTAAAAATGGGCGGAATCGGTCCACATTTTCATATACCTTCAATACAAATGTACATATTACCGGAAAATGCATTAATTGTTAATAACTTCCGGTAGAATGACAATATCTTTACAAACTTTTACAAGTAAAAATTTTATGACAATTAAATTCATATAGAGGAAAAATTTTCTGAATCGGTCCATAATTGGCCGAAGCTCCCATACAAGGTCCCCTCCCGGAAATCGGTTAAGCGCACATTACACATTACCAAATAATGATATCCATACAAAATTGTGCACAAATATTGCCTTTATATACAGAAATGATACTGTAAAATTTTTTCATGATCGGTCCATATTTGGTTATAGCTCCAATACAAGGTCACCTCCTGAAAATCACTTAAGCGCATATAACTTATTGTTAAATAACGGTATCCATAAAAATGTTGGCACAAATATTGCTTATATACACAGAAATGATATATATTTGATACATATTTGGTCATATCTCACATACAAGGTCCCCTTCAGAAAATCACTAAAACGCATATAACTCATTAACAAATATTGGAATCCTTACAAATTTAGGCATAAATGTTGCCTTTATTTTTCCATGATCGGTCCATATTTGGTCTTAGCTCCCATAGAAGGTCCCCTCCCGAAAATCACTTAAATGCACATAACTCATTACCAAATAATGGTATCCAAAAAATTTTGGCACAAATATTGCAAATAGAAATTATAATGTTAAATTTTTCACGATCGGTCCCTATTTGGTCATAGCACCCATACAAGGTCCCCTCCCGAAAATCACTTAAACAAACTTTTACAAGTAAAAGTTTTATGTCAATTGAATTAATATAGAGGAAACATTTTCTGAATCGGTCCATAATTGGCCGTAGCCTCCATACAAGGGGAACCCCCCCCCCCCCCAAAATCACTTATACGCACATAACTCATTACCAAATAATGGTATCCATAAAAATTATGGCACAAATATCGCTTTTATATATAGAAATTACACAGTTAATTTGTTCACTATCGGCCCATATTTTGTCATAGCTCCCATACAAGGTCCCCTCCCAAAAATCACTTAAACGCACATAACTCATTACCAAATAATGGTATCCATACAAATTTTGGTACAAATATTGCTTCTATATATAGAAATGATACTGTAAAATTTCTATACAAAATTTGCCACAAATATCAAATTTGTTCATGTTCAAGGCAATTATAAATTTGAGTATAATTCACTGAATCATAATTATTTTTACAAAAACTAAATACTGGTAACAAGGAAAACATATTATTAAAAACCATTTAAACTTGGAAATAACCATAATATGATATGTTATATATCCATTGTATGTTATGGTGTTATATGTCTGCTGATACATCAACAAATTAATACAGCAACAAAACAACTTTTGCTCACACAGATTACTTTTTCGTGTGTGTTTTTTTACGCGACAATAAAATTAGTTGAAATAATTCTCATTTGGTTTATAACATTAAATGTATAAGTATTTCAGTTTGCATAGAATAATGTAGTTATGTTTTTGTGTAGCAGATTGAAATTTGCGAAGTATGTATGCATTTTTAGCTTTTTTTGCAATTTTAGTATATAAACAAAAAAAGACAAATTTTTGCAAAAAAGATTTATATTGGAAATAGGTTTAACCGGAAAAAATCAGAATTAAATGTCTATCCAAACACAAGCAGTGTTACCATATGTCAAGTTTTCCTTTTTTTTTGCAAGTTTTTTGAGATTCAAAAAAGTTTTCAAGTTTTATTCCAATAAAAAAAGTTTTTTGAAAATTTATACAGTTTTTCAGTTTATATTTTATTTAATCAATAAATAAGTTTAAAATAAGAAAACAATGTTTACCATTAACAAAAAAAAATGATGACCTTAATCCCTTAGAATAGACGTTAAGGACACAATGCACTTCGACCATATTGTAGAGATTTTGTGCAGCCCATTGGTTCACCATACTAGGCCAAATTCGCGCATGAAGATAAATGGATTAATCGGTGAGTGTTTGAAGATATCATCTGGGTCTGGGTAAGACAAAATCTTCGTGTTTCGAGTTCCCAATGACGGGTAGTTACAAAAGTTCAGAGGTTTCCTCTTGTAGTACACAGAATCTACATAGATTCATCATGACATTTCAAGTGTAAATTTATGGTGTCTAAGACCACAATATCCAGTAATTCCTTGCTACTGATGTTAAGGAAAAGTTCTGTACCAATTATCATTAAGCTATTTAAAATTCCTCAATTTGCTAATTTTTTCACTAATTTTTCTTGGGTATTTTGTAATTTTAGTACAAAAAAAGTTTTTTTCAAAAAAATAAAAAGTTTTCTTCAAAAAATATATGGCAACACTGAACACAAGCAACAAGAAATATGAGAAATGTAATAATTTACACTGTAATTCAAAATAACGCAAAAAGATTCATGAATATAAATAACTTAAAATTACGCCAATACAAGTGAATACTTTAAAATGTTGTATTCTAAAATATTTTTCTGGAACGCAATGCATTTTTAAATTCGAGGTGATAGAAATAATTCAAGAGATTTCATTTATTTTTACAAATACGTGCAGTACGCTATTTTACAAACTAATACTTTTTGTTTGCTCATGGAATGAAACATATAATTTTGGAAAAGGTTATGTATGACGGTTAATTAACAAATTTTATTTTTTCCTATACGAAATAAAGAGGTTTTAATTTTTATCATCCTTCAGGAGTTCTTGTTAATTTATTGAAAATAAGTATTGAAAAAAATCAATAATATACTTTCTCATCCTACTTTCTGTTCTTTTTATTTTTACCAAATTTTTAGTAATTTTGTTGTCACGTTTTTTTTAATTAAAAAAAATACATAAATTTCGAAAATATTATTGACAATTTATTCCAGAATTACAAACCATGGTAAAAATATCAAGGTAGTGTCATTCTCTCTTTTTGTCGCCATATTAACCATCTGACGTTTGCTGGTATTTTAATAAATCGAGCTACCACATTTACTTTGAAAATCCCACTTTTTGTTTGTTTATTTTTTAATCAAAATCAAAAATAAAATTCAATTTAAACTAAACTAAAAATCAAAATGTACAAGTAATAAAAAAAATTCAATAAAAATTTAAATAAATGTACAAAAAATTCAAACCAAACTATAAACTTCCAGTTAAGTCCTATATCAAATTGAATGTCTGTTGCTGTCCGTATCAAGCAATTGCAATTAGTGCTTCAAAAGGTCCAAGAATACACGGTTTTCTTCAAGTGAAAAAATTTAACATTCACGAAAAGTACTTTGCTTCCAGTTTGTGGTCTAATATGGACACCATTATTACATGTTAATATTCGACGGAATGAGTGACATCATTAAGCAGTCCAGGAAAAGTAGATTGGATTGCAAAATATAAAAGGCCTTAGGGACAGAACTTGATGTGAAGGCTACCAAGATACTTATAGGACTGGGTAAACGCATTCCAACGGGTAGGAATGCTAACGGGTAGGAATTAGAGTCATCGAGCATATAATTTGCCACTATCCTAGGACACAGAATATTAGGTTGAAATGGCTGGGGAATAGGTTCCATAAAAAACATGAAGAAATTGCGGGATTTAACCCCCGCAGTCTACTGCTTTTATCATTCGATTGGAGATTATCTCACGTTTTCACCAGTTTTAATTCATCATTCCTTTTTATATATTTTATATCATTCTTGTTTTCTTTTAGTGTTCTTGTTTCTCTGTCTTTGGATCTTCAGTCTCTTTGAAGGGAATTACAATGAACCTTATGGTCTCCGAGTGGATGTTGTCCTTTTTATGGCACATAAACCTTCTTAACCTAAACCTAAGGACACAATTATACATTGCTTCAAAACCCTTTCAAATGATAATCTACATTGTATACAATTTAAATAACAAACTAAAACAATACCTTTTTTAATCGGGACAGCTCGACAACAGTTACCACTGGATCTAAATTATTTTGAAAATTATTAATTATTCTTACAAACTATTTTTCCCTTTTTCATATGTGGCAACGATGTTCTATTTATTTACAAAATACGAATTTCAAAAAATACCAACAAACTTCAAAAAGTTTTTTTGAGAGAGAGGAATGACACTACCTTCATATTTTTATCATGTTACAAACTTACGGATTTGAATATATCTCTCAATTCATTTCATACATTCTCATATATATTTTTCCGAAATAATCTTGGAAGTATGAGTTATTAACCTGACATCTATTCACCGAGATTTAAAATTATTTGCATTCAGAAATATTTTAAAGTTAGAGACATTACATATTGCTAAATTTACAAAAATTTTGAAA